AAATAGGCTGGCCCAGACCCTTGTGCACGTCCTGCGATGTAGCGCCCATCAAGGTATCGCTAGCGTTGGTCTTGACAGATTCCTTGCCATGGCTGCGTTCGACATTGGGGTTGAGTGCCTGGCCACCAACCTCGCCGGTGGGATTAGGCTGGTAGGAGCTGCTGGCGGGCGCGGTACCAGGGGGATGGCTCTCGGCGCGGAATTCGGGGACGAAGTCGCTAGGAGCGACCTTTCTTCCTACTTGGTGCTGTTTTTTGTCAGTACAATTTGCATGATCGGACACTATTAGAATGGGATACATACACCACCTTGCTCAATAGGACCCGTAGGTTTCACCGAAGGGTGGAATTCACCCTGCTTGTTAGTAGCGACAGAGTCGGGGTTGTTGAAGTGGCTCATGATGAAGAATGTGTGCGGACGTTATCGTGTGGTGGAACTTGAAAAAAAAATCAGTTCAAGATTATTAGAGAGTAAACACTGTTGCAGTCGATACTAAACAGAATTGAAGCAGACAGTAACCGGACAGCTAAATATACAAGCTGAACCGTCCGGGATGGCAGTTTAGGGCTTCACGGGAATGACGTCAAAGTGACCGGCGTTGACTTCATGGCTTGCATGCTTTTCCATCACTTCACTTTCATCGAACCACTACTTTGACTAGGATAAACGTCATGCACTGGTATCGAGAATGTTCAGTGCGTCCAATCAGTCCGGTTTTCGGTCGCGTGCTTCCATGGATGTGGTGTAACTCTGCAGTATCTGGTATGGGATGATTAGGGATGTCTCCGTCAGATGCCGGTGCATGGAATTGGCAGTTTGTTTTGATCTAGGCCATGGAGATGATAATGATGATGTAGTAGGTATTTTTCTGTGTTTTGTGATATACTGTGCTGTGGTCATTGCTGGATGTAGATATGGCTGTCTACATGGTTGCGGTACAACATGCGCTATGCGGGACAGTTTCAGCGAAAGCCAATTGAACAAGACCCAAGTTGATGGAAAACAAATGCAATTTAAGGTATCTTCCCGATCATATAACCTCTTAACGCCAAACTCAAGCCCGAATAACACGATATAAGAACAAGAAAAGAATCGAAATTCTTCGCAACAGACCATCCCATCCCCAAGTCTATCACTTCATTAACGGTGGTCGTCCCTCTTTATTCCACTTGACTCGCGTCTGCACCCATTCCACCGCTTCTTGCACGCCCGACCCCATCAACGCGCTGACCGGCAACACACGACTATCCCTCACCCCGGCTCCAGACTCTCCCTCAAAGACCTTGCGCACAAACCCCTCTTTGATACGAACAACCTCTACCGAGTCTTCCCGATCTTGCTTGTTGGCGAGAACGAGGATCGGTACACCGGCCACATCCGAATGCTGTAGAACCGATTCCAGCACTTGCCGACACTCGTCGAGCCGACCGAAATCGCTCCCGGGCGCATTGATCCCGACCATTTCCTCCGTAAATGCGCCCGAGTGGCCTCCTGACGGACCGGAGGCAGAGCTAGGTCGTCGACTCGGCAGCCGGGTGATATCTGGGTCTTGACCGACGTCGGCACTGTCGACGACGAAGATAATGGCATGGCAGCTGGTGTAGTAGCTTTGCCAGAGGTTCCGCATGGATATTTGTCCCCCCACATCCCAGATTTTCAGATACATGTCCGGTAAGGAGATGGTCGCGACGTTTTGGCCGACGGTGGGCACGGTTTTCCCGGGGTTAGGGGCGGGAGCGCCATCTGGTCGGGGTTGATAGAGGGCTTTGATTTGCGACAGGAGGGTGGTTTTGCCGGCGTTATCGAGGCCAAGGAGGAGTACGGAGTATTCTATTACTGTGATATTAGCGCGCGAGGATGGGATTATGACAAAGACATCGACTCACCCTCCTTGCTAGTAGCGTACATATACAGGGACTTGGCCAGATGATACATGATTGCGGAGAGGGACGGACTGCGGAGACTAGACCAGATATCCTCCGGCGAACGCAGCCTCGGAATTCCAATTAGAACCGGCGGGACGACAGCTCAGATAACAGAATCATGGCAGCAGCAGAAGGCTGGATTCTTGAAATATTCCACCTGCTGCTTGATTTGTCTCTTGCGCTTCGATACGGAGGACGCTGGGCCAGCCGCCGATGGCAATAGATTGATTGCCTGGGGTTCCACGCGTCAGCCGTGTCCCGAACAGGAAGGTAGGGTATAGGGTAGATATGGTACAGGCCCCGAGCCCTACCTTCCGGAACAAGAAGACCCCGCAACGTCAAAGTCATGCATTGTCGATCTCTTGATTTATTGGGACTAATATTCATTATCCGGGCATGCCGTTATCGCTGCGGAATGTTGCTCTTCCTTTCAATGAAAGTGTCTCGGAACCCAGATTGACGGGGTCCATTCACCACGGCCTGCCGGGTCAATCGTGGCAGCCAAACTTCTCACCTTCTCGACCCCGGATGCGCCGGTGGCACGGAGCAACGGTCATCATTGGAGGCTGGCAAGCAATCGCCCCCCACGTCCCTTGGCTGGATCCATTCCTACTGTAATAAGTAAGGATTACATAGTCGAGTTGAGGGTCTTGCATTTGTCAGTTTGTCAGCGTCCCCAGGCCCTGCCTTGTCCGCTCGCGGAATCGGCATCCCCTCTCTCCCTTCCTCTTCTAATGGTTTCCCTACAAGCTTAATCTTTCCTCCTCTTTGTCAATGTAACGGTCACCCGATGGCCACTGGTTCTCACCCTTAAGCTGGAGGTAGTGGCTCTACTGTAGATCTTCAATACTGTGTGTGGTTGGACTTGTCAGAGGAACCCTGCTATCGCATGTCGCAAACAGCATGCCCCACGATGGTTGGGCGGGCGAAGGCGCAAGAGATGCCTTCATTGGAGACTGATACCATTATCGTCGGTATGTCGCCATTTCGTGCCAACGGATATGCTGGATTTTTATTTGATTTCTTCCTCTGGTCCTTGTTATCGTGCTGATGTGATCCCCCACAGGGAACGGGCCGTCGGCCATGATTCTGTCGTATATTCTTCATGGCCATCTTCCAGTTTATTCCTCCAATCCTCCTCATCCTGACCCGCTTCTGCATGCGAAGCTCCAGGATTCCCCGGAGTTGCTCCATGTGGACGTGCACGCTTTGACGGATCATTTCGCCGCCTCGAGACTGTCGTACTCCACGCAGGCTCTCCCCGTGAACGTGCTCCTGGACACGCTGGTGCGTCCCAGCGTGGATGTAGAAGAGCTTGAGGCCATTACGAATGTCGAATGGCGGTTCGTGCCCGAAAAGGCCGTTCCCCATTTGGTGTTCGGGAATGCTCAGCATGCAGGGGGTCAGTGGACTGATAATCCCGTGCCTGCCAGCTGGGACATCCAGACCCTCAGCTATGCGTCAATGCTGTCTCTCCCGGGCTATTCGTTCGCTGAGCACCACCGGAAGATCACGGGCAAGGAGCTTCCGGCATATACCCGACCCAGTCGGGAAGAAACAGCAAGCTACTTCCGCACGTACCCCGAGGCGGTTGAGATCGATGATGTGTTCCGGTTCAATGAGACCATCTCCGGCATCTCACGAACAGATGATGGGTTTTACATTCGGTCTCACAACATCCACTGCAAGCACTTGGTCCTGGCTAGTGGTATATTCACTCAAGTGCTGCAGCCCAGCCCAATGCTACAGCCTTTGACCTCGCTCCAGCCCACTCCGCAGACTCCGCTGCTTGTGGTCGGCTCTGGATTCTCTGCCGCGGATATCATCATCTCTGCACCGGCGGATCAGAAGATCATCCATGTGTTCAAGTGGGATCCGGAAGGGCGGTCATCACCGCTGCGTGGCTGCCACCACCAAGCATATCCTGAATACGCCGGAGTCTATCGACTGATGAAACGAGCTGCGGTTGCAGCAGACCCCACGAAGAAACGAGTGAAGCCGCGGCGCACCACCTCGATCCCATTCTTGGAAACTCGCTCATGGGAAGATATATACGAAGGATTGCCCAACTCGGAAGTCATTGATGTTGCGATGCAAGAGGGTCAGGCCCTGGTCACATTCCGCCAGCCTGACGGGAGCACCGTCACCCGCGCCGTCCGCGGGATGGTCTACGCTACTGGCCGACGAGGCACCCTCGACTACCTCGACCGTCCGCTTCTCAATGAAGTACTCGACCAAGATGCGACCACAGACACGAGCCCCGTCATCTCCGCCCGGTCCTTGCGCAGCAAAGTATATGATGATATTGAGATTGCGCCAGACGTGTTCATAATCGGCAGCCTCACAGGCGACTCTCTCATCCGATTTGCGTACGGCAGCTGCGTCCAAGCCGCCGGGAAATTGGTTGACGCGCGCACGGGTAAGGAGCGAGTCCGCAGTGGATCGAACAATACCTCTCGGCCACAGTCATCGTTGGGCGTCATGCGTGGCATAGATGGACACGATATCTCGCCACCTAGCGAGCTCCGTGCTGTGGATGATGACCGCATGGCGTCGACTTGGCCGCAGAGGGTTATGCCGAACGGGTTGTGGAGGTGGCTCTGGAGATGGTTTGACGTGAGGTAGGCATGATGACGAACGATGCATGATAGATGATAGATGTGATTGATGATTGTACATAGCATTCCATTGGCTTTGTTTATAAAGGGAGGATATGTTGTTACTCATGTATAGTTGGCCAATTGTCCATTGATCTGCATATATCTTGTCTGGAGAGGGCTTGTCCTTACTTGCGTTAGAAGAAGTCTTTAAGCATAATATACCACCACAGAAGTACACCCATGATTGTACAACCCTGGCCACCACCTCAATCATAATCAATCCCACAAATATGTAACTAGATAAGCTTCACATTCTAACAAAGTTCTGCGACAGAACTCTAGTACTAAGCAAAGATCATATACAACTCAGCACCTAACCCATCCATCCTCCCAGAGCAACCATAACAACCCACTTCACCTCCCGACATCCCCAACCCTTCCCACAGAATAATCACTTGAATCAAGGATGCCCCAGCGCCTCCCTTGCCGTAATCCTCCCCCTGGGATCAAGATAAGTCATCCTAGCCACCAAATCCCTCAATCCCGGCTCCAGAAACCCCCAACACTCAACCGGCTGTCTCGGATTCTCCGCCCCAAACGTGTGGATTAACTCCAATATACGATCAAACAATGGATTTTGCTCCCTTATATGCTCAAGGAATTGCTCCACCCCGTCCACATCGGCAAAGTATGATAAATGAAGACGAAGAATATACCCCCATGCGTCAGCAGCATTCAACTGCTCATCAGGGGACGCGAAGGACCATTTCATTGGCTGTCACATAAATCATCTGCGTGATATATTAGCTGACCCACAATCAATGGAACAAATAGAGACAAGACACAGGCCAAACATACAACCAGGGCAAAGGAGAACACATCAAACGCCTGGTTCTGACGAGATCGCGCCCCCAGCTCTCGGCGCTGCGCCAGAGTGCATTTCCGCAGAGGGGGTCCGCGCAGCCATTTCCCTGGCGGGACGATGACTGTATCTTCCAAGTCGGAGGTTTGGATCGACTTTATTGATGGCTCTTTGTTCGTTATCGGCTGTGGAGGGGGGTTGTGTAGTCGATGAGGATGTGTTTGGGTTTAATGTCTTCATGGGTTGTTAGTACAACATATCAGTCAACAATAACCAAGATCATCTACCATTTATGAACTATATCCCTCTTATGCATCTCAACTAATCCACTTAGTGGATCGCGGAGAATAACTTTCTCTTTGTCTGACTAAAGCGGAGCAAATCACACCTTAGAAAGGGGGTAGATGAATACCTCTTTCTCGCGGACATAATCAAAAATGTCCGGGTATTCGGACAGGATGATAGTTGGTTCTGGATGTTGAGCTGGTGTTGGAAGTCGCCTGGGATGTTGTTCTTTATATGATGTATTGCTTGGTGGATGTAGATCTGCCGAATGATGCAGATTAAGCGCTGGCTACATGTGATATACAAGAGTAAAGTCTTTGGAATAAGTGCTTTACCTCAAGGGCTTTGCTACTGTTTACTGATTATGTAGAGATAAATGTTGAAAAGTACACAAGTCTTATGGGTATAGATACATATCAACATCAGGCTAGCCCATGATCTGCAACTGATCATCCGGAGGCCACCGCGTCTGCGCAAAGCTGAGGCACCGTTTGATGCTCTGCAAGTACTTGCGCGTAATCTCGTCACTCAAAATATGCGCCTGCTGATCGCTCTGATGCAGCTTCTCTCGTGCGGATCGCTCGTGAATACCAACCATGGTAACACCAATAGGCCAAGCTCTGCAAAAGAATTAGCCAAGAACAAAACGTCAAGACAGAAAGAAGATACGTACGCTTTTCCAATACTCAACCGCAGATAAGCATCATTAGCATCGACATAACGCCGCTGCTGCGCCTTGGACACAATCTCAACCACATGCTCAAGCACTCCATCATCGATATCCACCTTCTCAAACTTGCGAAACAAGGGCTTCATATTCTCCCGCGACTGCACCATGGCATTATACGCCTGCTTTCCCTGCAAGCTCAACTTGACCGACGCATCTCGCTTCGCCAACGCCAACTCCCACTCCCGCAGCACCATATTAAAGTACGACGCCAGCTGACGAAACAAGAACTTCTTCCCCTCCAGATCCTTCGGTGCCGTCTCCGGGATCTTCATATCCACCTCCGGCACCAGCTCCAACGTCGTCGGAATCGGCCCATCCGACAATTGTGGCTGCGGCGTCAACGACCGCTGCAACAGCCTCCTATACCGTCTCAGCCGGCCCTTGTGCGTCTCCCCAAACAATATCGCCGGCTCTTCCATGTCCCGCAACTTCTTCAACAGATCCTCCTCCGGTATATCCTCCTCGCCACCTTCTTTACCCTCACCCTCTTTATCATCTCCAGACTCCGTAGGCGGCAGCTCCGGCAACCCGAGTCTCTTCCTGCGCTCTCGTTCTTGGGCAGCTTCTTCCTCTTCGCGCTTCTTGCGCGACTCCTCGGCCAGTTTGCGCTTCTTCTCTTCCCGTTCACGACGACGCTCTGCTTCTTCGTCTTCGAGCTTGCGTTTCAGGGCGTTGCGCTCTTCGCGTTCGCGGGCGAGGCGCTCTTGTTCTTCATTGTAGGCGGCGATGCGGGCGGCTTCGAGGTCGCCGCGCCGGGTGTATTTGGGTTTGGAGGTGTCTTGGGAGTCTGCTTTGGGTTTTGCTTTGGAGATTTCTTTGGACATTAACGATGCGAAGTCCATGTTGGTGTTGTAGTGTGATGCCAGTGAAGGTGTAGTGCTGCTTGTGGCGATTAGATAGATAGATAGAGTTGGGTAAATCGGAGGTAAAGAGACACCCGTGTTCGGCAAACTTGCCGCGGCGGAACTTCCGCCGTCCAGATCCAGCAGAAACACCCGCGCCTGGATAGCTTGTTTGCTGCAAGCTTTCATCCTCTACCTTCGTTCATTCTCTCTTTCAATGCAATAACCACCATCCTATACTACACAACTACAATCGCACACTCTATCTCTTGGAACCGACCACACCAACAAAGTGACTACCAAAACAAACGAAATAATAAAAGAAGAGCAGCAAAATGACACCACCCCCAATCGACCGCCAAACCACAACCCCCTTCCACCTCAAGCTCTTCTACCGACTCAACAACTACCACCATCTCTCCGACTTCTCCTCATCAGCCCCCTCCTCTTCCTACAGCGGCCCCACGAGCGGCCCCAACGCCATCCGCACGCGCAGTCCCCCACCACCACAACAACTCCCTCCCCACCTCCAAATCTACACTTGGCAATCATGCACTCTCCGCGAACTCTCCCACCTCCTGACCTCCGCGCTACCTAGTCTGCTTCCCGACCCGCCGGTCGGTACGCGCCTCTGCTTCCGCCTCATATACCCGGACACCAAAGGCGCCGCGACGATGGGGCCCGACGCGCGGGGCAGATATCTCGCGAAGGATTTGGGAAGTGTGATTATCGGACCGAGGGAGAGTGCGATTGCGAATGGTGGGGATGATGATGAGAATGCGATTGGGGAGGAAGGAGGGCAGAGGAAAGGGAGTGGTGCTGGAGTAGGAGGAAGGTTGAGGATTCAAGGCAATGATGCGGATAAGACGTTGCAGGAGGCAAGGTTCGTTATTGGAGATTATGTTGATTGTGCGGTACTGCCGCCGCTTGAGGATGGGTCTGTGGCGCCGCCGGTTAACCCCGGTCGGGGGATGGCGATGGGTGGGGGGATGAGGGCGTTCCCTGGGGATGCTGGTAGGGGGAGAGGTATCGTGGAGGAGGTGGCGGTGGTGGGATGAGAGGAGGGAGGATTCCACCGGGGGATTGGAGACGGGGGGAGAGAGTTCCGGAGGAGAGGGGTGGTGGTGGTGGTGGTGGTGGTGGAGGAGGTGGAGGGAGAGGAGGGAGAAGGGGGTGGGCGCCGTACTAACTACCTGCTTGAATGATTGATTTTTGATGCTGTATGTGTATGTATGAGTGTTAGGAGTTGAGGATACCCGATTCGCTACAGGGATGTCTTGTCTACTATCTACTAGTAAAATGTCGGTATTATTGACTGCTGTGCCCATCAGCAACGCAAAGAACCTGCTGTAGTAAACGAAATCTTCAATAACGGTATAATAGTAGTAGTAGATACACATCCAGCCCGACCCATCGCATCACATCACATCACATCACGCTTTTCTCCCGCCCAACCACACATGAGAGGATCGAATCGATCTACCACTCGACAATCGTATCGCCCCTGCGCTTTCCACGCAGCTCGTACAGACCCTACACAACCATTAGCCTTCGCCCAAACCAAATCCCAATGTAACTCAGATCACTCACATCAGTCTTGTAAGCGACATAGCCCAGCGCACCAGGAATCAGCGCCATATAGAGGAACGAGAACCAGGCATGGCGCGGCGTCCACCGGAAGTACTTGTAGCGGTTGGCGTTGAGTTCTACATAACCCAATTGTCAGTTATCATCCATCCAAGAGTAATTCCTCCCAATGCCCCCTCTGAGAGGTAATTGTTGTTTCTGAAGGGAGGGGAGTAATGTAATGCGTCAAGTCTTATTGGCGGGAACAAACGGACCGTAGTATTTCTGGAGGGCCGGATCAAGGATCAAAGCTGGAGATAGCGGTTAGCGATTGGGATTGAGGAGAAGCAGAGGTTAATGACATACACTTGCTGGGACCGGCCATGGTTGCGGTTTGGGGAGCGCTGGTTTATTGCTGGCGAGCTGGGGGTACATGCGTATTGGGTGTGGTGGTGATGATGATGTTGAAGTTGGGTCATGTGATGAGCAGCATAATTAGTAATATACTTAGCATCGTTGTACTATGAAATTATGCAGGTATGCAGGTAAGTGGATATCAGTAATGTTATTATGATTACTAGCTATAGGTATAACGTTAGTGATAAGTATTATGACATTCTACAGTCAGCAACGATCCCATACGTTACACATATACACTGCTTGTCTACACTGCACAATGTTGAAAAGTGGAATCCCTCGTCCTCTGGTATCTACAATCTACAATTATGATCGCAAAAATGGGCGCCCCACTCATGGCGTCAGTCCTCACGAGGAACATCCGAGGTTCGCTCGCGCATGATAAGTTCTAATTTGAATGTGATGAGCACTCAATCACATTCAATCCCTACCTACCTAGGCTTGTCACATATAAGATAACATACACACCATTCTCCTATTCACCAGACCACCACCCATCCAATACCATCAATCAATCAATCAATCAATCAATCAGTACACTCAAAATGACCGACCCCAACAAAGGCACCAAAATCACCCTCTACTGGTCCGTATACCCTTCCTCCAACCCATTATCCCCCCTACACCCAACCACTAACAATAAAAATCTCATAAATACAGGCTCTCCCAATCCCGCTCCCACCGCATCCTCTGGCTCCTCGAAGCCCTGCACCTAACCTACGAGCTCAAGATCTACCACCGCGGTCCCGACAAGCTCGCACCACCCGAACTAAAAGAGATCCACCCGTTAGGAAAGTCTCCTTTGTTGACAATCCAACCCGCGAACGCCCCTCCAGACCAGAAGCCCATCGTGCTCGCCGAGTCCGGCATTATCATCGAATACCTGCTCGACCACTTCGGCGACAACGCAGCAGAGAAACCTCTTCTCCCTGCTCGATGGAAACCCAACCAGGAGGGTGTAGTGGGCGGTGAAACCGAGGAATGGATGCGCTATCGCTACTTCATGCATTATGCTGAGGGAAGTCTTATGCCGTTTTTGGTGATGCAGTTGGTTATGGATAGTATGTTTTCCCCTTTCCTTCTTTCTTTTTTTTCTCCATGTGAGATATGATGGGATATGTCCTGCGGACAGGAAAGGATGTTAATGCTCATGCTAATGGTGGTGGGTAACAGCGGTAAAAAACCCCCCCGGCATGCCCTTCTTCGTCAAGCCGCTTCCGCGCCTTGTGGCGGGCCAGGTGGAAAAGGCTTTCCTGGCGAGGAATATCCAGTCGCATTTGGAGTTCTTGGAGGATCAGTTGCGGAGTAGTCCTAATGGGGGTGCGTATCTGTGCGGGACAGACTTGACGGCCGCGGATATTATGATGAGTTTTCCCGTCATTGCTATGTCGGGGAGGTTGCAGGATCAGTTGCATAAGTTTCCGCTGTTGGGGAAGTATGCGGAGAGGTTGCAGGAGGAGGAGGGGTATATTAGGGCTGTGAAGAAGGTGGAGGAGGTGGATGGGAAATTTGAGGCTTCTCTGTAACTTCTCCCTTTTCTATTTTAATGATATTTGATGGGATTGGGATTGGGATTGGGATTGGATAATGGTATATATGATAGTATTAAGTAGTAATTAATTGTTCGATCTATCTATCAATGAAATTCAATGGTAGTATGATTACATCCGCCCAATAGCTTCACTCTCCACCCCCAACTTCTGCAACTCCGCCCCATCTAAACATCCCCGTCCATCATACACCCACTTCGGATCCTTCAAGTTGTACGCAATGCGCGCCCACTCCAACGGCTCATTCACCACAGCCACAGACCGCGGTGCCCAGCTCCGACATGCCGCGCAATCACTCCCACACCCTTCCTCCGGCGTCAATCGATAAGTAGCCCCGTTAAACGTCCACTCCTCATCCTTGCGCACCGGCGACAGCATCTCATCCAGACTCTCGTACGCCTCCGAGTCCGAGCGAGCAGCACTGCGCTTCCGCCCATTCTTGAACTGCTCGCAGTCCGTCATGACCAAAACCGCATTAGCCTGCGAACAGGCCAAATACGGATCCGACAGGACCTTCACCCTAGCAGCCACAGCCTCCTTCCCACAGACAGCCTCCAACTCACGCAATATATCCTCCTCATGACAGAACAAATCAAAGATATCAATCTCAGCCGGCCTCTCCTCAAGCAACAGTCTAATAACATCCACAACCGGCGACTCGCGCGTATCCCCGGTGTCTTTCTTAAATGCGAACCCCAGCACGGCGATCTTCCTACCGGATAGATTCCCGTCGAAGCGGTCGATGACTCTCCGTGCGAACCGCACGCGCTGGTACTCGTTCATAGCGTTGACCTGGCGCCAGTAATGCGCGACTTCGTCTAATCCTAGTGATTCAGCGAGATATGTCAGACTGGCGATGTCTTTGCGGAAGCAGGACCCGCCGAATCCGACGCCGGCTTTGAGGAACTGTGGTCCGATGCGCGCATCCATGCCAATGGCACGCGCTACTTGGTCGACGTCTGCGCCGGTCTTTTCGCAGATCGCGCTGATGGAGTTGATGCTGCTGATGCGCTGGGCCAGCATGGCGTTGGCGACGAGTTTGGCGAGTTCCGATGACCAGGCGTTTACTTGGAGGATGCGCGTCGGAGGGACCCAGGAGTAGAGGTGGGCGAGCATGCGGGCGGCGCGCCGGCCGGGGGCTGTTCCTGAGGAGCCGATTAGGACGCGGTCCGGGTGGACGAGGTTGTCGATGGCGGAGCCTTCGGAGAGGAATTCGGGGTTGGAGAGGACTTCGAAGGGGGTGTTGGGGCGGAGGGTGGTGAGCTGGTCCGTCAACTTTACTCTTATGTTATATAAGGGGTGGGGATGAGGCTTACTGTTTGTCGCACCCGTTCAGCTGTTCCACATGGCACGGTGCTCTTCTCGACGATTATGGCTCCTGGCTTTGCGTGGCGTGCTATCTCCTGCACGGCGCCGTCGACGGCTGTCATGTCAGTGGCTCTACCGGCGCCGAGACCGAAGGTCTTGGTGGGTGTGTTGACGGCCAGGAATATCATGTCGGCGTCTGCAATGGCCGTCGAGTCGCATGTGAAGAACAAGTTGGGCTGTCGGCGCGAGTACTCTGAGCCTTCGGTACCAACACTCTGAGCCACGTCCGAGCCATCGCGCGTTGCGCGCACCACATTGTACAGGGTGGGTTCATGTACCGGAAGATGCGCCGACTTCCAGCTCTGAATGCGATGAGGATCCCGGTCCAGCACTGCCACTGCGACAGAGGGATTGTACAGCGCGAGAACAGCCGCGGTTGGTCCGCCTGTAGGGCTGGCTTTAGTTTGGCTCGTAGATAAGGGCAGTGTGCCAGCAGAAGCTTACCCACGTATCCTGCACCCACCACGCAGACGCTCTTCACACGGTCATTAGCCAGAATGCGTGCCGAACTGGCGGTCGCAGCGTCGTTGTGGGCTCTCTGAGTGTCAGTGATTCCCGCAGGCGAGGTAGAATGCGACGAGACATCGTCCACCTTTGCAGCGCGAAACAGCGGACTAGATGTGGGGGTAGTGGGACAGGTTGAACTGTCATCTAGACTCCATTCGAGAGAGCTCAGTGGTGAAGAAGCGAGATCCATTGTGCTGTCCGCTGCTGCTGGTGCTACTTGTAGTGTTTCTTGTGTAACCGTCGGCAACAGACCTCACTGACCAGTCAGTGCAGGAACTGACGAGACGACGGAGGGGCAAGACAAAACAAGACAAGGGAGACAGGACTACAAGCAGCATAAGCGTCAGCCCAGATACCTAGTGGTTGACCCCCGGTGATTTTGTTGGTACGGTGGAGAGTTGCAGGGATTTGAATCCTTGAAGTGGTAAGTCTCCCATTCGGCACCGTCTTCTTAAATCGCCATGGTGAAGCCTTGAATAGCAACGCTGAATGGCCCTATGAAGTATTAATACTCATGTGAACAGCAAAAGACAAAGGATTCAGATCCCTGAACCTTCCCACTGTCCTAACAAAATTACCGGGGTCAATCGTAGTAGAGGCAAGAGATCGTCGGGCGACCGAGGAGATAAGGTCTTGCGCGGAGGGCGCATGGCCGTTGCAGCGGAACGTGAGCAGCAGAGCATGAAGGCAAAAGAGGGAGTCAATGCCACAGAGCTGCATGGGTTGATGCACGCGGGGGGCAGCATGGACTGCCACTGGATCAACCATTGGGGGGGGATGCAGGAGGCATTGAAGGCATGAAATTTGGCTGGTGATCCGCCCTAACGAGCGATGCTCTTCAGCCAGCCCACGTGCCCGCATCCAGCCCGGCGACACGAACGGTTCTTGTGCATCACCTGCAGTGATCCTCAGTGTAGGGGAATGATGACCTATGGGTGTTAGTTTTGTCCTCCTGGGTCTGGGTTGCTCTGTGCACACCGTATTGTCTATTCTTGTAGAACATAAGTACGTGCGTGCACTCCTGGTAGTCATAGACAGTGTACTAGACGTACAGTCCACCAATGAGATACTGGATGAATAGTATCAACATCATCAACATGCCCTCATTTCCTCCTCCTTCTGAAGACTTCCCCAGCATCCTCAAAGGAAAACGCATCCTCCTTACCACCGAATCTCTAGGCCCAGTCAACGGCGTCAGTCGCACAACCGGCAAATTAATCGAGTATCTGCGTCGCAATGGCGTCGAACTGGCCGTCGTGGCACCACAGTTCACCTCACCACCACCACCACCACCACAACATCATCAAACCCACGAAGAAGAAACAACAACAACAACAATCCGCCTCCCCGGCTACCCCCTCCCCTACAACCCCGACCTCACCCTCGTCTACCCCTTCCACCTCACCACCACAATCTACCCCCAAACCTTCACCCCGGACCTAATCTACATCGCCAGCCCAGCCAGTCTAGGCTTCCAACTCCTCCTCCAACTCCGCCAACTCCACTCCCCTCCACCAACGCTCCTAAACTACCAAACAGACCTCTCCTCTTACAGCTCCATCATCTTCCCTAGACCCCTCTCCACCTTTGCCGTCTGGCTCCTCTCCCTCGTAGAGGGATATCTCTTCCGCACGCCCTGCATCCAAACGATCTTCTACCCGTGCAGCGATGTCCTAACCTACTTACGATCCACCAATACCCCAATACACAAGACCCACCGGTTGGGACGGGGAGTCGACACAGCTCTCTTCAGCCCATCCCGTCGATCCCAATCCTTACGGGATACGTTAGCCCCGAATGGCGAAGCAATCCTCCTTACAGTCTGTCGGATCGCGCCAGAGAAGGGATTTGAGTTCCTCGCTGAGGCCATTACCCATCTTCTCTCCAGTACGAAGATACCCTTTAAGATGGTGATAGTCGGTGGGAACGCCAACCCAGCTGTGACAGCACGCATCCAATCCCTCTTTCACCACATCTCTTCACATGTTATCTTCCTCGGGTTTAAAACTGGGGTGGAGTTAGCGAGGATCTACGCCTCCGCGGATATCTTCCTGCATTGCTCTGTTACGGAGACATTCGGGCTGGTTGTGCTGGAGGCTATGGCGAGCGGGGTGCCGGTCATCGCGAGGGATCAAGGTGGCCCGTCGGATATCGTGAGGAATCAGGAAACGGGGTATTTGGTTCCGGTGGCGGAGGGGGAAGTGGGCGTGTTCAGTGGGCTTGTGGGGGAGGTGTTGCGGGATGGGAGGTTGAGGGGGCGGTTGGGGAGAGGGGCGAGGGTGTTTGCGGAGGATATGACTTGGGAGAGGATTAATCGGAGGGTGGTGGGGAGGATGGTGGATGCTTTGGAAGCCAATGGGGGAAGGGATGAAGAGAGCGCATTGTTGGGGGGAACTGGGGAGGTGAAAGTGTCGTTCTGTGAGAGGGTGAGGTTAGGGATTGCGGTTGCGGTGGTGTATGTGATGTGGATGGTGGCTGTTGTGCCGTTGATTGTGCATGGGTCAAGAATGGTGCCCAGGGCGCTGGGGAGGGTGCCGCTGTTGGGGAGGTGGGTTGGTCGGAATTCTTCTGCTGCTTAGTAGGGAGGTTGTGTGTGTATGTGTATGCAATAGATTATGTATTACATCTTCTTTTAGAGTATGTGAGTCTGTATATACAACCCTATCTCCTCTTCCAGTATCGGGATGCCTTCCAGAAGCAGCTAAAGAGAGGAAAGAGGCAATCAAGCAAACTTCCGCTTAATTTCCTCCTCGCTGAAGCGACGCGTCTTGCGACGCAGCATCGCCGCAAGCTCTGCATGCGTCATGCCGATCTGGTCGCCCATCGGCACCAGACACCGCGCCAGGTGGTCGTAGTCCTTGCGCATCAGTCGCACCGTGATCATGATGTAGTCGATGTTGCGGAATACGAGGGCATGCTCGGATGCATACCGGTCCTTTTGCCGCAGGAAGGCGAGGGGGTGGTCGCGCCAGTGACGGCGCGGGTTCAGGTGGTGCGAGGTGTGGTAGCCGTCATTGTAGCAGAAGCGGTTGCTCTATTCATAGTGAGTATGTGGTTAAAATTGAGGAATAATTGGAGCATACCGCTACATCAATCAAGGTGATACTGGAGCGAAAGTCACTGTTGGGATCCGTCTCGTCGACAAACGCATGCTGTCCCCAGTTTCCCACCATGAGACCCACACGCAGCTGCAAGAACGGAAGAACAAAGACAAACAATGTCGCTCTCCAGCTGACATAGTTCCAGAGCAGATACATCATCAAGTAGCTGCTGAGTTCCCAAAAGGCTGCTTTCAAACCCAACAGGGTCTTTCCTTTGCGCAGGAAGTAGGTGGGCAGCTCCAGCCAGATGAAGAGGTAGAAGCGGCCGACGTAGCAGGCAAAATCGGCCAGACTGTCGCGCTGGTACCGGATCGTTGAAGATAGATCATCTGGACCGTTGCCTTCGACGTGGTGATGCTTGACGTGATGGTAGAAGTAGGAGTTCCAGGTGTGGCCCATCAAGGGGTCCGTGATGTAGGGAAAGATTGTATCGAAGAGCCACCAGTTGCGCTTTTTCAGGATGCCGCCCATGTGGATGTGTTGGTGCATCATCAACGTATAGGTGCCCACGTAGTAGGACTGCATGATCCAATGCAGCACGCCATGGAGCCAATGGAAGTTACGGAAGAGATAGATAGCACTAGGCACAGAAGTGGTAAAGTAGAGCAAGAGATGGGTGAGCATGACCACGTCGGTGTCCACCCGGACAATGGACCGCGCGGCCCTGATGTACGGTTGCAGCAGCCATGCATCTAGCAGCGGAGGCAGCTTGATGTCCTGCAAATCCCAGGTGAAGAAGATGGTCGGGACAAAGTCGGCATGCCGGGGGTCATTAAAGGCCTCCAGTTGGCTGACGGTGGCGTCGGTATCTGATGGGACATCGGGGGTCCCACCGGCTTTAGTGGCAGGAGCAAGTTAGCATGAAACCCGGAAGAGCAGTGGCAAGGAAGTTAGTTGACAGCGGGTGAGAATGTACATGATTTGGGCTTGTCCGGGGTGGATTGGCTATCGAGCAGCAGGTTATCGAGGACCAGTCGATCGGGCGGGGTCAGATAGGGATCGATAAAGGTGGAAGGGTCCATGGCCAGCAGAACAGGGAATAATCTGCTGGAATTGGCGGGAAGCAAGGCACGGTTTAGACAGTAAAGCAAAGGGAGGTATTGGCCCAAAAATTCCTGTTGGAGTGACAATCGAACAAGCTTTAACGGACCGCCGAAGAAGAAAAAAGGGGGTGGGGCTGACAGCATCGGATGAGCTGAGACGATGGTCAGTAAGTATCTATCTGCCTGGCATATTATCCGATCTGAGCCCGTGCTCGATGATTCCGATCAGACCATCCATACATACCCCAGCTTGCTCCTAACTTAGCGTGTCGCTAATGGAGGACTTAAAAAAGTCCGTGGTGGTGGTGATGTGTCTGCCAGCTGTGTGCCTGGGGACAGCAACCATGGGTGGAGATGGTGGGTCAAGAGCATCCATGACGAGCACATTGCATCCAGGGCAATTCCATCAGTTCCTCTCATGATCAGGTCATGATGTCGACTTTTTCCGTCCGTGAGGTGTGACAAAAGATGTATATTTTCGCGTCCAGTCGAGATCCCCAGGGTTTTAAAGTCAGACTTGTGACATTCCGATGAGGGCAAGAGATGTCCACTTGGTTGGCGGGGGCGGAGTCACTTTTCCGAGAACAGCAAGTGGCAGATGTCTTTCAATAGTAGCTCCAGTTAGCTCCCCCGTGTCGATCCACTGGGGTCAAGGCAATGTAGTAGGTATCCAGATGCTGCAATTGAGTCGTGTAATATAGTAGATAGACGTCGTAATTGGCAGGTGAGCTAAATGTGTTTATCAACCCATTAAAGCTCTATACCCATCACATAGATAGAAACCCTAGTGGCCTATCTATAATTAGCAACAGCATCAATATTCCGGACAACTCACAAACAGTTGTTGTCGTCAAATTTTGAGTATAGAGGCGTGGCTCGTAATCAGTATACATTTGCATGATAAGTATGTTATAGCCAGATAGGGAGCCCATATAAGCTTCATTCTCGGATACATGGAGAGCGACGTACCAGCTGCGGGCTGCCACTGCATACCAATCTAGCCGGTCGGCATCACCAAATGCGCTCAACACGCCATTCACTGCATCCAGCCATCCATACAGCATTACACCATGTAAACCCAAATAAACTCCAATAAACTCAACTGTCAATATAGGATACGTCATTACCCCTCCCATGTGTAACCCCGCCAGCCTTTCATCCAATTCTTCTTAAAACCTACTTACCAGCACTTATTTCACGCAATCTACCGTACATCTAAACAATCAACCAGCCAGCACAATGAAACTCACTCTCTTCTCCGCCAAATCATACGACACCCACTACTTCAATCAGACCCTCCAAACTTTTCACCCAGATCTAACCACCATCACCGCCCATCCCTTCGCTCTAACCGCCTCCACCGTCTCTCTCGCGCGCTCCAGTGATGCTGTCTGTGTCTTCGTAAACGACACCCTCGACGCTACTGTCCTGCATGCTCTACACTCCTATGGTGTCCGTGCCATTCTCCTCCGTTGTGCTGGGTTCAATAACATCGACCTCCCCGTCGCCGAAGCCCTCGGCTTCTTCGTCGCCAATGTCCCCAGCTACTCCCCCGAAGCCGTGGCCGAGTTCGCCGTGGCGCTGATTCAAACCTTGAACCGCAAGACACACCGGGCGTATAACCGTGTTCGCGAAGGCAACTTCAATCTAGAGGGGTTTCTAGGCCAGACCTTGGCAGGAAAGACGGTGGGCGTGGTGGGATTGGGTCGCATTGGAATGGCATTTGCGAGAATAATGAAGGGGTTCGGCTGTGTGTTGCTTGGGGCAGATCCATATGGTGGGGAGGAGTTTGAGAAGGAGATAGGAGGAAGTTATGTAGGGATGGATGAATTGCTAGGACGCAGTGATGTGGTGAGCTTGCATTGTCCGTTGACAGAGGGAACGAGACATTTGATCAATGCGAAAAGCCTGGCCAAGTTGAAGAGGGGGGCAATGGTGGTGAATACCTCGCGAGGCGGGCTGATCCATACACGAGATGCGGTGCAGGCGTTGAAGGATGGAAGATTGGGTGGGTTGGCGTTGGATGTGTATGAAGAAGAAGGGGATCTGTTTTATAATGATCATTCAGCGGAGATCATCCATGATGATACGTTGATGCGACTGATGACGTTTCCCAATGTCCTCGTGTGTGGACATCAGGCGTTTTTCACGCGCGAGGCACTGAGTGAGATTGCCCAGGTGTCACTGAACAATTTGGAGGATTGGGCGAAGAAGCGGTCATGTAAGAATTCGCTGGTTAGAGAGGGACATTTATGTGTTGAGGAGGATAAGGAGCCGGTTCGGTTGTAGATGTGTGGATTATCTGTAGCAATATACCTGCCTGACTCTTGAGATAATATTAAGGGCTGTGTTGGGCCCGCGATCCCTAAATAGATATTCAACTAGATCCTGTGCAGATCTTAGTCGATCATAAGCTTTAGTGATATGCCAGATTCAAGACGTGTTCATCGGTCACATTAATAGCTGAGCGCAATGTTGTAACCCCAGCCCTGCCACTGTGGCGTGCTCCCCGAGCACCCCTTGCAGCTGTCACCTGATGTTGACTTCCATTCGAAGCCACACATCTTCTGTCAGAAAGATCTAAGCCAAGCAGACGTACTACTCCGGTCAGTCGCATTCTCTCGATGCTGTCATTATGTTCTCCAATTGTGCACTCTTTCAAGACGCGAGCATACTCGGCTCTCGTGAGTTCAAGACTTCCTAGCTACAGATCGATCGTCAGCAGTTGTCTCCACCGCAGAGCAAGCACAATTCCAACTTCCTCAATCCACGCTGATGAGTATATTGGCCAATCTGGCCATCATTATAAGGTTGAACGGGTTCTTCAGGAAGAATCATCCCCGCCACGTCAGGTTCTCCTTGCAACGTGAGTAGACTTGACTACTACTTCTCATGACCACTCCCTTACTAGTCCATTAGCGCCGGTGATCAGAGATTTATATTGAAATATATCCACGAGGTCAATTTCGAAGACCTTCAAGACGTAAACAGCAGATTACACAACAATGCCAGTCATGTTCGTCTTGCTCAGGATATCATCCCTGAGAAGTCAATGTTCGTGTTCGAATACTTCACAGGTCATCTTCTCCACTTGGCTCAGAAGGACTTGTCTCTTGGAACAAGAAAGAAACTTCTCAAAGAAGCTCTTCATGGAATTGCAGAAATGCATGACAGAGACATTGTTCATACGGGTAGATCGTACCCTGTGATTTTACG